ATTTACATTTTAAATGCTTTAAAATGGAAATAAACCAATCCGAGACCAAAATATGACGCTGGTTCCTTCCAAAATCCATCTTTATTCAGATTATAAGCCTTCTGATAAGATGATAACGCTGAAAAAAAGCATTTATGATAAACATCACCGCATGTATATGGTCATAGTTTTTATTCAGTACCAAATTATAAGCTATCAGCCTAATCTGTTTCGATGAGATTTATTACTTATATATGCTAATTTTGTAGCAGTGCTTCAGATATATGTCAATATTTGCATACTGATGCAATTATAATAAAAATCCATTTGTTTAATTTATCATAACTCCTATCCATTATTTTCACTCTTCATGATCAAAATAAAAAACATAATAAATATATTACCTCTAGGAAAATCTTTTGCCAACAAACTGATATGTCCGATTTTTAAATACACTTTATAAATTTTCGTCTTATCTTCTTTCGCTTCAACAAGTTTGATTAATTCATTATCTAAGTTCCGTATCCCCTGCAATACGAAATGCTTCCATGTTAATAAAACAAAATTAAAGAGACAATATTCCTTCTCAACTAAAATTCAATTTCAAATAATTTAACCAAATTTCTATCTCTGCCTTTTCCAGTTCATTAAAAGAACAAAAAGAAAGACGAATACCGAATGTAAAAGGAAAAATAATATCATTTACTAACATCATCTCTAGAAAAACTGCTTATTTTGTCATCATTAGCGATTTGTATTAGTTTCCTACATAAAGAAAATGGCATATATTACTGTGTATGTAATATTGACAATAATGATAATCATAATAACAGTGATAATAATAAAAAAGATAATAACAATATTTCTTTAGCACTAGTATTGATCATACACTGAATAATGACTTAAGTTATTTTAACCGTTCAATAGTGCAGTTCAAAAAATTAACTAACTTTATAAAGAAGAGCTTTGTCAGTTTCTGGAAGTTCGACCTTCTTATTCCAAAAATGGATAACATCAAAGCTGAAACTATTCAATTAAACAATGTTATAAATAAAAGAAATGCATAAACAATAAAAATGAGGAAAAAAGTAAAATATATAATGCAAAATCAAAAAATAAAAATAAAATAAAATTTTTAAAAGACAATGAAGAATTTTGATTAGAACTAAAATGTATGTAAATGATCAGATCAAAAGAATAAATGATAGTAACATTACTGGAAAAATCCAATTACCTGTTCAACTTCAAGAATCTAATTTCTTCTGCACATGTCAATCGTGGCTCATATAAGATATTCATCGTTCGTTAAGTTACACAGCACCTTTCTAAATTTTAAAATCCTTCTAATTAAATCACAATAAACCAACACCACACATAACATACATAACAAAAACAAACTGATGAGTAGCAACAGCTAAAAATGTTGGCCCGTATAAAACTTGCGAAACAACCTCGGCTCAGGCATAATTTGAAAAGCAATACGTAATCTGAAGGTGTGCACGTAGTAATTTACTTTTTTTGTTAGAGTTAACAAAGAGATGTATGTTAGACAATATTTCCCTTGTTGCGTTTAGCATCTATGCTTGATACGTGCACTTTACAATATGTACGTGGATTGGTCTTTATTGTAAATTGATATGCATATGTATACCTATGCCTTCTTTTCGTAGCGATTTTCAATGTAGGAAAAATGTATGGAAATGGATTTAATCGAGCTAAACATCCATTTTTTTAAAATTTATATTGTTTTTTTTTTTTGAAAAATTTATTAGGGGAAACAGTTTGCGCGTATACGATTTCTATTAATTTTACAAACTTAAGCAAACGAGTTAAATGGATCACTTTCAAAATAAATTCTTCTGATAATTCGATAATTTTGGAAAATAGCAAGACAATCGTACTTATGGTTGGAATTTTTTTGTAAATTTGAGTTTTATGTAAATCTGAATTTTAATTAATTAATTAATAATAGTTTTAGAATAATTTAATGGCTCACATTTCACATACTGTAAATTGTGTGTATTTTTCAAGGGATTTATTTTTTTAGATATTGCAAAACTTATGAACGGGGATAGATGAAATTAAAGTCCTATTTTAGTGCAAATAAAAGCCTCTATGAATCATTAAATGTGTTATTAAATTCTTATTGCAATAGCAAATGTTGAATTAAACAATAAATTATCATAGTTTCCATATGCTTATTGTATGAGCAAAAATAGCACATACAAAGGAGTTATTATTAAGAGTAATTGGTACACGAAATTCTTATTGTATAAGGTTAATAATTGAATAATTCATCAATTTAATCGTTTCATTTACACTTTACAGTACAACAATAAAGCAAAACATTATATATATATATATATATATATATATATATATATAT